ATAGTGTATAATAGTGAGGTACATAGTGTTTCACAGTGAGGTACATTGTGTATCATAGTGAGGTCCATAGTGTTTCACAGTGATGTACATAGTGTTTCACAGTGAGGTAAATATTGTATCACAGTGAGGTACATAGTGTATCATAGTGAGGTACATAGTGTATAATAGTGAGGTACATATTGTATCACAGTGAGGTACATAGTGTATCATAGTGAGGTATATAGTGTATAATAGTGAGGTACATAGTGTTTCACTCTGAGGTACATTGTGTATCATAGTGAGGTCCATAGTGTTTCACAGTGATGTACATAGTGTTTCACAGTGAGGCACATATTGTATCACAGTGAGGTACATTGTGTATCATAGTGAGGTCCATAGTGTTTCACAGTGATGTACATAGTGTTTCACAGTGAGATACATAGTGTATCATAGTCAGGTACATATATTTATCATAGTGAGGTACATAGTGTATCATAGTGAGGTACATGGTGTATCATAGTGAGGTCCATAGTGTATCATAGCGAGGTACATATTGTATCATAGTGAAGTACATAGTGTATCATAGTGAGGTACATATTGTATCACAGTGAGGTACACTGTGTATCATAGTGAGGTCCATAGTGTATCATAGTGAGGTACATATTGTATCACAGTGAGGTACACTGTGTATCACAGTGAGGTACATATTGTATCACAGTGAGGTACATAGTGTATCATAGTGAGGTACATAGTGTATCATAGTGAGGTACATAGTGTATCATAGTTAGGTACATATTGTATCATAGTGAGGTACATATTGTACATATTGTATCATAGTGAGGTACATAGTGTATCATAGTGAGGTACATAGTCTATCATAGTGAGGTACATATTGTATCATAATTAGGTACATAGTGTATCATAGTGAGGTATATAGTGTATCACAGTGAGGTACATATGTAATATAGTGAGGTACATATGTATCATAGTGAGGTACATATTTATCAATGTGAGGTACATATGTATCAACGTGATGAACATTGTGTATCAATGTGAGGTATAGTGTATCGTCATCTAAGTAGAAATATAAAGAAGATCTGCATTTCATTGTAATACTGACATACTCATTAATTCGATGCTTCAACATAATAATTGTATTAATACTATATAATAACCTCCCAGAAAGATCCGGGAATTACGTGAATCCGGGTTTTACTCAACCCTCAATGAAGACACTTCCGGTTCGGTCTTCTCTTTTCCGGTGAATATTCTCCAAGGGTCGGTCCAGAAATAGGTCCTATTTCTCGATAGGAAATGTCTGCTACAGCACGAAATATTACATTTTCGTCTCTTCGATATTATCGAAATCTTCAACGAGGTTTGTATGATAACACACCTTTGCGTTGGAGGTTCAAGAAACCCTCCAGAAAGATGGTATATAATCACCCAAAATTCCAACCCCATAAGTCATATTCAAAAGACCCCAATTTAAAAATCAGAATCCATATTATATGATATATATGTAATTAAATTTATTAGTCCAATAATGCATAGCTATATTGTTTGGTGTACAGGTGATTTATTTCCATATTCAATAAGCAGAAGATCAAGAAAAAAGCTCGGAAATTAGTTATTTGTTCATTAGCGAAACTCAGACTACAGAAAGACTTATAATTTATATTGCCTTATTGGTTCTGTTAATAGCCTAGGTGATTATAAGAACGCATGATAAATAAAAAAGTATTAGTAAAATCAGTGATTACAACCACACACCAGAAAGTCATGATGGGCAACTAATTAGTGGAGATTTTTTTTGTAAAAACAAGCTCTACAAGTCCTATATATTAAAAGTATACTGTACAGACTTAGGGTGGTTGGGTCTAGATTTTGTCCAGATCCATACGCTAATTTCATGTCTAGAAAATTCTATAACAAAACAGTCTTGGAGGCCTTGTCAAAGTTTGAGCGGCTATACACAGAACTGTTTCTGAAGAAATACTTATATATATAAATTTACATATCAATGCATTTATGACTGTATGATTGATCCATTTCATTCTCCTATAAGTTTATTTATATGGAGCTGAGTTTACCAGCTTCCTAGTAGCGTCATCATTTTAAAGATGTCTCCAGTGGATTTTATAGATTGATCCATATAAACTAACGAAATTAATTGAAGTAGCACTATTAATATTTGTGCTTCGTTTATATTTTTTTTGTATGTGTATCAAACAGTAAAATGTAATAATCATAATATGGTACATAAGTAAAGTGACATTTTAAAGTGGCGCCGATATTTGTATACTTGGCTTTGTCTGTAAAGAGGACTGGTTTATGGTTACCTGGGCATGTTGAAGAAACCTGGGCCATCCACAAGGGCCTAGGATTTGAGCGATTATTGGAGATATTTTCAAAATTCAAAAATAGCAGAAACTTACCTGCACTTTAATTTTTGTTGGGTGTTTTTGCCCACAAAGTAGAGGGTGGGTAATTGTTAGACCATGGGCTATTATTAGAACCAATACTGTATACAAATGCCGAGTATTAATTATAAAATATTTAGATGCCAACAAAGTTTTGGTACCAAACAGTATTTGTTATCCGTTATATAAGGGGTTGTGTCCACCTGTTTATGGAATTAAGGGATGGCACCTGTTCTTTTGTATGTTTCGGTGTTAAGTGATTTATGTTTATATAAACAGGGTAGTTATGTGATGAATAATTTCATTTGGAAAGAGCTTACAAATAAGACTTAGAAGAGAAAGTATTTGGCTTGAATAATGACCTTGGCCTTGATGGTTACAAGTGTAAAAATAATTTAAAATTCCAAAAGGTAAAATGATATTAAGCTTGCCTGTGATCAGATTTGCAATAAAATATAAAATTATGTAGAAACTAGAAATATGTCAGAATGACATGAAAGTCAACTCATCATAATCTTCTGTATGATCATTTTCCGATAAATCATTGACCAAGCTACAACTGATATATTTCCACCTGTTAATCAAAATGGTAAACAATGACCAGGTGTAAATACATACATGCTGTTCAGGAAGCCATGCCAACACATGGAATTAATAAGAAAGCATGTCACAAATATAACGTTAGCGTTCACTGACACCTCGAATACGAGGAGATCTGCGCGGTATAAAGATGTTGTTTTCACAACAATAATTTTCAGAAAAGATTCAATCTTATATACGGATAAATCTTTTTTTTTGTTTTTGTTATGAAATACACTTTTCCAAATAGTTTTCTGATTGTCTGCAAATCCGACTGAATCAGTCATCGATATCGGCAAAATGTGTACGCTTAAAGGCAGTCACCCGACGAGGACCGCCAACAGCCGAATGTGAGAGACATGAAGAACACCAAACAATTGTGATTTCAGCAATTCTCCTTCGAAAAGAAAAGATTGGAATGTATTTGGCTGTTTTGAACCTGTTAATATTTATTTTCCAAATTCAAACCTATATCATTATCGGTTCAATTCGCATGGATGTCACCTTGTAAATTCCTGCCGGCTATTAGTATAACACGACCTTCACTCTTTGCGGTACACAAACTTGCTAACTTCGCCACTTTATCCATGTCGTTTTGACACATCCCTACTGTCAAGATTAAAGAGTACAGCATGGTTTTACCCAAGAATGACATTTTAACCACATAGGGATAAATGCGTTGCTATTCTTCGTTATGTTTCCCGATACATGGTCTTTATCAATTCACAACGTAACGTCTTGAAAATTTATCCAATTCTATCCTATAATATGACTTAAACTTGCCACTTTTCGTAATTGTTAAATTGGTAATGCAATCGGGGATTATTCAATGAAATTTAGCAGTTTTATTGCTGCGAGCATATTTCAAAACATTTCCAAAATTCCTTGAAAAATTTACGAGAAATGTTCGCGTCCAAGGACTGGTTTTGGATTGTTCTTGAGTATGGTGTACACCCCTTTTTTGACACTTCAATTTTCCTTAAAAAAAGTGTGCACTATACACAAATATTAACGGTAGTCGTTGGTCAGACATAAAATATCTAAATCATTCAATAGCAATTTATAATACAACAGTTTACCCCTACAGGAACCTCAAAGGTGCCTGATTCATACTCAATACATCTTTAGGACCAGGTGAGCTTATGCTGTGGTGCGGCTTCCGGACAGCCGGCGTCAATATTTTACTTTAAACAACTTCTTCTCAATAACCAAAAGGCCCAGGGTACTGATATTGGGCCTGTAGCATGCTGAGATGAAGGCTACCAAGTTTGTTCAAATGAATGACCTTGACCAACTTTCAAGGTGACAGGGGTCTTCATCCCAGCATGTTGCTGGCCAAATATTATTACCCATGGCCTCATGGTTCTTCAAAAGAAGTTGTTCAAAGGTTTTACACATATTTGATCCCTGTGACCTTGATTATAAGTCAAGGGCATTCATTTGAATAAACTTGGTAGCCCTTCATCTCGGCATGCAACTGGCCAAATATCATCACCCTTGGCCGCTTGGTTATTCAGAAAAGAGTGTTTAAAGGTTTTACACCTATTTGACCCATGTGACCTTGAGTATCAGTCAAGGTCATTCGTTTGAACAAACTTGGTAGCCCTTTATCACAGCATGCTACTGACTAACTATCACCATCCTAAGTGGTTTGGTAATTCAGAAGAAGTTGTGTAAATGTTTTAAACATATTTGTCCCCTGTGACCTTGAATAGAAGTCAAGGTCATTCATTTGAACAAATTTGGTATCCCTTTATCCCAGGATGCTACTGACAAAATATCATTACCTTAGACCTCTTGGTTATTCAGAAGAAGTTGTTAAAAGGTTTTACACATATTTGACCCCTGTGACCTTTAATATAGATCAAGGTCATTTATTTGAACAAACTTGGTAGCCCTTTATCCTAGCATGTTACTGGCCGAATATCATCTCCCTAGGCCTCTTGGGTATTCAGAAGAAGTTGTTTAAATGTTTTACACTTATCAGACCCCTGTGACCTTGAATATGAGTCAAGGTCATTTATTTAAACAAACTTGGTAGCCCTTCAACCCAGCATGATCCTGGCCAAAAATCAACACCCTAGGCCTTCTGGTTATTCAAAAGAAGTTGTTTTCAAGTTTTAAACATATTTGACCTCCTGTGACCTTGAATATAAGTCAAGGTCATTCAAATGAACAAACTTGGTAGTCTTTTATCCCAGCATGTCCCTGGCCAGATATCATCACCCTGGGCCTTCAGGTTATTCAGAAGCTGTTGAAAGAATTTATTATATTTGACCCATGTGACCTTGAAAATGGACAAAGGTCATTCATTTGAACAAACTTAGTAACCCTTCGTCCCAGCAGGCTAGCATGCTACTGGCAAAATATCATCAGCCTGGGCCTCTTGCTTATTCAGAAGAAGTTGTTTAAGGTAATAGGATTGTGTCACCATTTCTCAGTAGAATTTCTTCAAATTTTGTAGTTATATTGCTTTAAAGTAAAGAAAATTTTCTGCCACAAAAAAATATAGGTTTTCATAATTTTAAGGATTTTAAATGGAAATTTATATAATAAAAAAGGAGTGAATTTTGAAAAAACAATAAAAGACACAATATTTTTACAAAATAATGTCAATAAAAATGATACTGATATATATTAGTATTGCATTAATGTATATCAATTTAATAAATGCTGAAATTGTGTAAAATTAATTCTCTAAACACGATATAAAAATTGACATTTTATAATAAAACCATATACACATAGTAATTGCAGGTAAGAGTTATCGTTCTTGAAAAACTTCACAGTAGTGAAATAGGTAGCCGGGTTCCTGAAGTACAGAAAAATGGACACATGTGACTCATTGATAAAAAAACCTGAATTAATGCCTGGATTGCTTTGAAATACTTTAATATTGAGAGAACACTCTGTTCTGTCAATAATAAACATACAATATTCATCAGTTTAATTATTAAACATTAGATTTTGTGGAAATTGTGATACTGTCTCCCTACATTGGATTTTTAACTAGGAATGTACTTCCTGTTTCCGTTTATCAATACACTCCAATGACCTTAAAGTAAAATGTTGACGCCGGACGACAGACAAACAGACGATGGACGCCACACGACGGCATAAGCTCACTTGGCACTTCGGGCCAGGTGAGCTAATAACCAAAAGGCCGAGGGTACTGATATTGGGCCTGTAGCATGCTGGGATGAAGGGCTACCAAGTTTGTTCAAATGAATGACCTTGACCCACTTTCAAGGTCACAGGGGTCAAATGTCTTAAAATCTTCAAACAATTTCTTCTCAATAACCAAAAGGTCCAGGGTACTGAAATTGGACCTGTATCATGCTGGGATGAAGGGCTAACAAGTTTGTTCAAATGAATGACCTTGACGCACTTTCAACCTAATGTCCTTGTTCGACATTCAAGGTCACGGGCGTCATATGTTTAAATCTTTTAATAGGTATTTATGAATCAAACACTGATATTCTGCCTGTAGCTGTATTTTGGTCCACTTTTAAGATTACAAGTGTGAGATTAATATCAGATGAGTGATGCAGGCCCTTTGGGCCTCTTGTATATAATTCCCGAGGGAAATTTGGAATGCCTTTAGGTTTGATGCTATTCCTGTTTAAAAAGGAAATCAATATCTGAGTTATCCAAGAACTTGTAATTAGGGCCTGGTATATTCCGACAGAAGCAATACACTTAACAGCCCAAGACAGCAAAGGTCAAAATCTGGGACTGAAACCGAAATTAATAGTCCCCACTGGGGTTTCCCCAGGGGTGACTAAAAATATTCAGTAATCGCAAACAAAAAACATTATATAATCATAAGAATGTTGTGATTGTCCTTATTATTTATAATGGTGCTGACATCACAATTCTGATGAAATACTCATCGGCTTTCTTTTATCTTAAAGGAATTTCCAAACCAGTTCAGACTAGAGCAGCAAGCTCAAGTTCATCAAGCAACGACCACACTAACTGGTAAGTGTATGGTACAATATTGGAAATAAGCAGAGCAGCATTAGGGATTGTATTTTTTACAAAAGATCGTTAAAATTAAATATATTGCAATAATGGAACTTGTGTTGAAACCTAGACCATTATTTGTCAGACATGTTATAATTAGAAGTTAACTATGAACATTTTATTCCAGGAATAGTTTGCCTCGAGTTGGAATATCTGCAAAAAGTGGCACAATTGTCTGTTTCCATCCAGAACCAGTATGTCCTTATGAATACACCATAGTAAGTAGTTATTGTCTGTGAACTCAATATGCTGTCATCTTTTAACATCTTGCTACAAATGTGTGCATGCTCCTGTCAAAGAATTTTAAATTGTACAAGAAAATTATCTTTTTGATGTGGATGCTAAAATATATCTGCATGAATGCCATTCCTGACTAGGAGTTGTGTACTCTGTTATAAAGGACATCAGAACATTATAGTCAGATTGGATAGGGCAGTATATTGCCACTAACAATATTTTTATTGGTATTGTGAAATATGTATTAGCATTTCTTATTTAGTATCAATTAATTAACTGAATCAGCTGTAAAGTATCACAATATATATGATTACCAACAGTAAGATATTGTTACATCCCTGTCAGAATGTGTACATACTTAAAACTACAGCTGTATATACATGTACATCTAGGAAACATGTGATGATAACCATCAAGTTTATCAGTGAAATCAAGACACAAATTGAACACACATAGTTAATAGATAGTTATCAATTTACACCCAAATTTGCATTACGTTTTCTGTATTAAGATAATAAATATAATTGAAGCCTGAACAGAAGTTCCTTGATGCATTGTAATGTATAAATACTTGTGCCATTATTGTATGTAAATAACTGACGAAGGATCTATCATGTCTTGACATTTTCATGTTTTGTCTTTCAGCCTCTGCCCAGGAAGAAAGCAGAACTAGGGGAGGTAATTCACAGGTTTTATGCCTGCATTCTGCATCACAGCTCACCATCATCAGATGGTGGGCTGTTAAAATCGTTCTTTGTCCTCTGTCCTTCTGTTTGTCCATCCTTAAATAATTCTTGCAATTGTATTCCTCAACAAGAGATCCCAGAGTTCTTTGTCAGTTCGATCTTTTCTCTTCTTTCCTCTAATCTGTTTGATCGAGTCATGTTAACAGTAAATGCACCTTAAGGTAATAGGATTTTGTCGCCATTTCTCAGTAGAATTTCTTCAAATTTTGTAGTTATATTCGTTTGAAGTAAAGAAAACTTTCTGCCACAAACAAAAATATAGGTTGTCAGAATTCTAAGGATTTTAAATGGAAATTTATGTAAAAAAGAGTGAATTTTGAAAAAAAAAAGAAACATTTTTTGGCAAAATAAAGTCAATAAAAATGATAGTGACATAGATTAGTATCCATTAATGTATATCAATTTCATCAATGTTGGAATTGTGTAAAATTAATTCTCTAAACACGATATAAAAATTGACATTTTATAATAAAACCATATACACATAGTAATTGCATATAAGAGTTATCGTTCTTGAAAAACTTTCACAGTAGTGAAATAGGTAGCCGGTTTCCTGAGGTACAAAAAAATGGACACATGTGACTCATTGATTAAAAAACAACTGAATTAATGTCTGGATTGCTTTGAAATACTTTAATATTGAAAGAACACACTGTTCTGTCAATAAACAACATACAATATTCATCAGTTTAATATTAAACATTAGAATATGCGGAAATTGTGATACTGTCTCCGTACATTGGGTTTTCAACTAGTGATGTACTTCCTATTTCCGCTTAGCAATACACTCCTATGACCTTAAGGTAACTTTTGATCTAAACTTAATACTGATGTTTGAGAGCCAACCTTCAAAGTGAGTTTGTCATTTCACATATTTACTAGTACAGTACCTAATATGAAAGAAATAGAACCAATCATTGCAATATGAGAAAGATCTGTTTAGCTCTTCCTTTAGCCATTTTGTTTTTATGATCAGTCTCAAAATATAACATGCACATCGAGGGATCAAGGGGAACCTACATATCAAATTTGAGAAAGATCCCTAAAGTTATTCCTGAGAAATAGTACTAACAAACCTTCAATGTCAAAAATCAAAGATGGCTGTCGGTCGGCCATTTTGTTTAACTGATCAGTTTCAAAAGTAAACATGAATAATAAAGGATAGTGGGGAACCTACATTGGTCGTCCCAAAATATTTTCTTTGGTCGAGTAAAAAATTTGAAGCACTGGCCCAAATGACAATTTGGTGGCTCAAATAATTTTGGGAATAAATATTTCCACAGCATTTAACACAATGCTTCAGCACATTTAAATTACATATAACATGACAATGTTTGTAATATGTAAAACAGAATAAAACATTATGTTTTTAATTTTTCAACCCTAGTAGTTAAAACCTGACATGATCCACTCCATTCAAGTCTTTAGTATTTCTGAAAGAATACACAAAACTTGCACCTCAAAGAAGACACCCTGGCAGTATTTTATGTAGAACATCTGAAAAAAAATCATCACATTTTCTAAATCACGGACAGTTCGATTTAATCATCACATTTCCTAAATCACGGACAGTTCGATTCAAATCGAAGTAATGACAACTGAAAATGTACTGCCCCCCAGTTAATTATAATTTCTTTTATTCATTAATTTTCTGACAGTCGCCCAAACTATTTTTGTTGGGCCAGTGACTACCTCACTTTTGACAACTTTTGTCAATAATAAGCACAGTATCGTACCTTTCTGATCAAATTATATAACATGAGTAAATGACCAAGTCCTTCTGTTTGCTAGGGAGATTCTGCATTGAGTGTTCAAGTTCAGCGACAAGAAATGCTGAGGTTTAGGGAGGATGGACCGACGCGCCATGAACTGGCCAATATGTTTCACACCACAAAACATCAGTGGTTCCCAAAGTAAGTGTTAACATCATTAGTCATAATAGTGATATCCAAAGTTAATAAATATCTGTGTTACTCAACGTTAGTTCGTCAGTGATACTCAAATCAGTACATGTACATCTAGAAGCAATGCCTTCAGGGTACTAAAGACTGTACAAAAACATGTGATGTATACCAGAAATAAGTTTACCTCAAAAGATCTAACAATCCTTGGAATTTTAATAGAATCTTGAAAAATATGATCATTGTAGTTTAATTTTTTTTGTATTTTTTTTACATTTCTTTACTTTTCAGTACTGCAGACAAATATAGGAAACCTAAACCGCCAAAGGATAGGGACGCCGTTTGATGGAAAATCACCTATTTCTCTCTTCATTTCTCATCATTTAAATGATCTATTGATGTACTGCACTAATATGGAAGTAAAATAATGAAAATAGGAGACGTTTTTCATTTTTTTTCTCTTAATTTCGATGTGCTTCTTATTTCCCAGCTAGACTTAAAATGAAGTTTGGGCTTTGTGATACAACATTGTTCCCAATGAATTTTAGATTTGGGAGGTTGGTATTTGATACATTTTCAAAGGAGGGAAATTTTAATTTCTATTTTCATGATTTGAAATATGGACAGAGGGCAGCAATTTTTTTAGCTCACCCGGTCCAAAGGACCATGGTGGGGCCCAATAGGGGAAATAGAGGTAAAACCTTTAAAATCCTTCTTTTACCATAGGAATGAAAGGATTTGTTCCATATTTAATCTGGAGCATCCTTAGGAGAAGGGGAACAAATTTTGTATAAATGATGGGTCTGGCCCCCCTGGGCGCTAAGGGGCGGGGCCCGATAGGGGAATATAGGAAATTCTTTAAAATCCTTCTTCTATAGGAATGAAAGGATTTGTTCCATATTTGGTCTGAAGCATCCTTGGGTGAAGGGGAAACAATTTTGTATAAACAGTGGGTCTGGCCCCCCAGGGGCCTGAGGGGCAGGGCCCAATAGGGGAAACATAGCAAATTATTCTTTAAAATCCTTCTTCTTCTGTAGGAATGAAAGGATTTGTTCCATATTTGGTGTGGAGCATCCTTGGGCCAAGGGGGCTCAATTTTGTATAAACGGTGGGTCTGGACCCCTGNCATGGGCCTGAGGGGCAGGGCCCAATAGGGGAAACAGCAAATTCTTTAAAATCCTTCTTTTTCTGTAGGAATGAAAGGATTTGGTCCATATTGGGTCTGAAGCATTCTTGGGTGAAGGGGAACCAATTTGTATAAACCGTGGGTCTGGCCCCCCATGGGCCTGAGGGGCAGGGCCCAATAGGGGAAACAGCAAATTCTTTAAAATCCTTCTTTTTCTGTAGGAATGAAAGGATTTGGTCCATATTGGGTCTGAAGCATTCTTGGGTGAAGGGGAACCAATTTGTATAAACCGTGGGTCTGGCCCCCCATGGGCCTGAGGGGCAGAGCCCAATAGGGGAAACAGCAAATTCTTTAAAATCCTCCTTCTTCTGTAGGAATGAAAGGATTTGGTCCATATTTGGTGTGGAACATCTTTTGGTAAAGGGGAACCAATTTTGTATAAACAGTAGGTGTGGCACCCCTGGGACCTGATAGGGGAAATATAGCATACTATTTAAAATCATTCGTATTCTGTAGGAATGAAAGGATTTGGTCCATATTTGGTCTGAAGCATCCTTGGGTGAAGGGGAACCAACTTTGTATAAACCGTGGGTCTGGCCCCCAGGGGTCTGAGGGGCGGGGCCCAATAGGGGAAACATAGCAAATTTTTCTTTAAAATCCTTCTTCTGTAGGAATGAAAGGATTTGGTGCATATTTGGTGTGGAGCATCTTTGGGTAAAGGGAAACCAATTTTGTATAAACAGTGGTTGTGGCCCCCCTGGGACCTGAGGGTCGGGGCCCAATAGGGAAAATAGAGTTAAAACCTTTAAAATCTTTCTTCTACCATAGGGATTAAGGGATTTTATCCTAGTTTAGTCTGGAGCATCCCTGGGCCAAGGGAACTCAATTTTGTATAAGCAGTGGGTGTGGTCTCCCAAGGGGCAGAAGGACAGGGCCCAATAGGAGAAATAGAGGTAAAATCTTTAAAATCCTTCTTCGAACATCGGGATTAAGGGATTATATCCTTATTTAGTCTGGAGCATCCTTGGGCCAAGGGGTCTCAATTTTATGTAATTGGTGGGTATGACCCACCCCCTAGGGGCATAGGGGTTGGGCTCTGTTTGAAGTTTGTTCTCGCTATATCTCAAGTACTGGATGGATCTTTCTGAAATTTTATATGTACTTACAGCACCTACATGTACCATGGAGTTCTATATATTTACAGCACCTACCATGGAGTGCTCTATATTTACTTCATACCAATTAGTTTAAACATATTCAGGTGAGCGATACAGGCCCCTCTGGGCCTCTTGTTAAAAGTTTCTAAAGGATACATGAAATATATGCATTCTTTTGGCTTAAGTTATTTAAGTACAGGAGTAGTTCTCAACTTTACTGAGTAATACAATACAAATGAAGTTTTGTGTCTTTAATTTCCATAGTTTCATACATTTATATACAGTTATGCATCAGAAGATCTTAAGTATGTCAGTTCGGCATGGGACTGTTCCGCTTTGCAATATTTTTGTTGAACAGTGCAAGTTTATCCAATAGCACCAGAACAAACACATTTTAAGGACAATGCTTAGATTCAAGATTTTTTCACTGAACAGAAAAACAAAATTTGTATTTGTCAATTATCTTGTGCAGTTTATTCCTAGTCACATTCATAACAATTGGATGACATCTAGATGAAAAGTGGTCATGCAAGGGTGTCCATGGGTTTGTCCTCGCTAGTGTTGACGTCCAGTGTTGGATTTAGGGAGGACTGATGTGCGGATGAAGTGTCCATTTTGAGAACCTCTCGGAGAGCCATAGTTGCATAGCAGGATGGTGGCAGTGTCATCTCCAACTTCAGGGCTTTCAGGGCGCCACCTACAATACGAAGATGTCATTGTCAGTGCAATTTCTAAGCTCGTTATGAAAGAGAATAATAACTAGAACTGTAAGCCATAGGCTAACTAATACCCCCGCTCCTACATAAACTAGAACTGTAAGCCATAGGCTTACTATACCCCCGCTCCTATATAAACTAGAACTGTAAGCCATAGGCTTACTAATACCCCCCGCTCCTATATGAACCAGAAGGGTAAGCTAAAGGCTTACTAAGGCAAAGCAATATATTCTCCCACCAGTAATGATTTCTTTATTGGCCCTGCTGTACACTTATTTAAGTATATAGGTCAATCGCATACTTCTTGTACTCCCTCTCAATGCCAAAACATACATGCAAACCAAATATTGTTAGCCCAGATGGACGAGTTTTGCTGAAATTGTCCTAGTAGTTAAGGAAGAGATGTCGGGACAAAGAATTTTAACAAAGAGCCATAGCTCCTTAAAAAGGGTCGAAATGAAAAAAATACTACCCTGATGCACGACATCAGGGGGAAATGACCATATCTGTAAACTTTCATTGAAATTGGCCCCGCAGTTTAGGAGGCAGACAATTTTTTTTTTCAACAAAGGGTCATAGCTCCTTTTAAAAGGGTCGTAATGAAAAAGTACCACTTGGATGCACAACGTCAAGGGGCAGTTACAATATCTGTAAACTTTCTTTGAAATTGGCCCAGTAGATTAGGAGAAATGTTCTCTATTTTTTCTACGGACAGACAGAGAAATACAAGCTGATTCCAGTATACACACCCTCCCCCTCTTAACTTAGTTGCGGGGGGTATTATTACAATTACTGGTTCAAGTGGGTTTAGTCTCACAGAAATATCCTTAATAGATATGGATGTGTCTTGCTCAAGGGGAGATAATAAGTTTCTAATCAAGTTGAAGATAATGATTTTCACTTTTATAAACAAATTGACTGCGATGATATTGAACCAGTTAAATTGTCCTACATACACATAACAGAAATTTGTTATGTTGTGTATTCTGACTTTAGATATCTGTGATTTTGATAATTTAGAACGCAAGTTTTAAATGCTGACATTGGGATGTTCTTACCCAGACTGGTTCGAACACACTCTCCAGTCTAACCTGGTATAGACTGTGGTTCAGGCACACCCTCCAGTCAATCCATGTCACTTACCTGGTATAGACTGTGGTTCTGACACACCCTTCAGTCGGTCCATGTCACTTACCTGGTATAGACTGTGGTTCTGGCACACCCTCCAGTCGGTCCATGTCACTTACCTGGTATAGACTGTGGTTCTGGCACACCCTCCAGTCGGTCCGTGTCACTTACCCGGTATAGACTGTGGTTCTGGCACACCCTCCAGTCGGTCCGTGTCACTTACCCGGTATAGACTGTGGTTCTGGCACACCCTCCAGTCGGTCCATGTCACTTACCTGGTATAGACTGTGGTTCTGGCACACCCTCCAGTCGGTCCGTGTCACTTACCTGGTATAGACTGTGGTTCTGGCACACCCTCCAGTCAATCCATGTCACTTACCCGGTATAGACTGTGGTTCAGGCACACCCTCCAGTCAATCCATGTCACTTACCTGGTATAGACTGTGGTTCAGGCACACCCTCCAGTCGGTCCGTGTCACTTACCCGGTATAGACTGTGGTTCTGGCACACCCTCCAGTCGGTCCGTGTCACTTACCCGGTATAGACTGTGGTTCTGGCACACCCTCCAGTCAATCCATGTCACTTACCTGGTATAGACTGTGGTTCAGGCACACCCTCCAGTCGGTCCGTGTCACTTACCCGGTATAGACTGTGGTTCTGGCACACCCTCCAGTCAATCCATGTCACTTACCTGGTATAGACTGTGGTTCAGGCACACCCTCCAGTCGGTCCGTGTCACTTACCCGGTATAGACTGTGGTTCCGGCACACCCTCCAGTCGGTCCATGTCACTAAGCACTAGTGGTTGCACCACATCATCATACTTGTACATCTGCCAAGTCACATCTGTTGGCCTGATCAGCATCTTCCTGTAGGTTCCTTTCAGTGCGTACTGTCTGTTAGACATAGAAACCAGATACCTGTACTAGGTTGACAATGGTGTGCTTGGATGACACAACTGGAGGAAGTAGTAGTGATTTGAAAAAGTTTTACACACCTTGCTTGGGATGCGCAATATTACCAACATACAGAACGATCCTCAAGTAAAATTCATGCTATCTTGCAATACACATATTTTCTTTTCAAATACAAGCACATGTATTAAGTTATCTATGAAAACTGGACAAACAACCAAAAAGATGAACGACAAAACATGATAAAAGAAAACAGCCAGACAGTCTATAACTCAAAACCAGGCAAAAACAACCCGACAGTCTATAACTCAAAACCAGGCAAACACAACCAAACAGTCTATGACTGAAAACCAGGCAAAAACAACCAGACAGTCTATAACTGAAAACCAGGCAAAAACAACCAAACAGTCTATAACTGAAAACCAGGCAAAAACAACCAGACCGTCTATGACTGAAAACCAGGCAAAAACAACCAAACAGTCTATTACTGAAAACCAGGCAAAAACAACCAAACAGTCTATAACTCAAAACCAGGCAAAAACAACCAGACAGTCTATAACTGAAAACCAGACAAGAACAACCAAACAGTCTATAACTCAAAACCAGGTAAAAACAACCAGAAAGTCTATGACTGAAAACCAGGCAAAAACAACCAGACAGTCTTTAACTGAAAACCAGGCAAAAACAACCAGACAGTCTATGACTGAAAACCAGGCAAAAACAACCAGACAGTCTATAACTCAAAACCAGGCAAAAACAACCAGACAGTCTTTAACTCAAAACCAGGCAAAACCAACCAGACAGTCTATAACTAAAACCAGGCAAAACAACCAGACAGTCTTTAACTGAAAACCAGGCAAAAACAACCAGACAGTCTATGACTGAAAACCAGGCAAAAACAACCAGACAGTCTATAACTGAAAACCAGACAAGAACAACCAAACAGTCTATAACTCAAAACCAGGCAAAAACAACCAAACTGTCTATAACTCAAAACCAGGCAAAAACAACCAGATAGTCTATAACTGAAAACCAGGCAAAAACAACCAGACAGTCTATAACTAAAAACCAGGCAAAAACAACCTGACAGTCTATAACCCAAAACCAGGCAAAAACAACCTGACAGTCTATAACTCAAAACCAGCAAAAACAACCTGACAGTCTATAACTCAAAACCAGGCAAAAACAACCCTACAGTCTGTAACTGAAAACCAGGCAAAAACAACCAAACAGTCTATAACTGAAAACCAGGCAAAAACATCCAGACAGTCTATAACTCAAAACCAGGCAAAAACAACCAAACTGTCTATAACTCAAAACCAGGCAAAAACAACCAGATAGTCTATAACTGAAAACCAGGCAAAAACAACCAGACAGTCTTTAACTCAAAACCAGGCAAAACCAACCAGACAGTCTATAACTAAAACCAGGCAAAAACAACCAGACAGTCTATAACTCAAAACCAGGCAAAAACAACCAAACAGTCTATAACTCAAAACCAGGCAAAAACATCCAAACAGTCTATAACTCAAAACCAGGCAAAAACATCCAAACAGTCTATAACTCAAAACCAGGCAAAAACAACCAAACAGTCTATAACTGAAAACCAGGCAAAAACATCCAGACAGTCTATAACTCAAAACCAGGCAAAAACAACCAAACTGTCTATAACTCAAAACCAGGCAAAAACAACCAGACAGTCTTTAACTCAAAACCAGGCAAAACCAACCAGACAGTCTATAACTAAAACCAGGCAAAAACAACCAGACAGTCTATAACTAAAAACCAGGCAAAAACAACCTGACAGTCTATTACTCAAAACCAGCCAAAAACAACCTGACAGTCTATAACTCAAAACCAGGCAAAAACAACCAAACAAACAGTATACAAAACAAGACCATGGGGAAAAAAAACGATAAACAGGACTAGAAAAATCCATTGAACAAATAACAAGAAAACCAAAACAATGCCAGGGAAACACAAAACCTAGGGAAATTTAGAAACTTTCGCCTCTAGATCTGGGGGCGAATTTAACATGACGGTCAAAGTTAGAAAAGAAATTACGTATACGCCGGCACGTTTTGTCACTATTTCGTCTACACTGAGGCTTAACTCGGGTACCGTATGTGATGCAATTGGGGTCCAGTGTGTGTAATGCAACATTATGTTTAATAATAAAGGATTGACATTTTGTTTTATTTTCTGATCATTTAATATTTCAAAGACACATCATTTAGTTGCAAAATGTAACATGAATGATAAGTGTTCGTCAGAGAGGCCACGTCAAAGGAAAAGACACAGACGTGACTTGGCTGCGTGCACAAATACACATAAACTTCCTCATTTGCCTTTTTGAATGCACGATTGTCTGTTGTAGGAAGAAGTGGTGATGAAGAGTGTCTAACATTTGGTGTTTTTTTTAAATAATTTAAGATCGACATTTCAACGTCTACCTTTGTACAAAGAAACGCAACTGTACAAAGAAACGCAACAACTGATTCAAAACCAAAATATTTAATTGTTCTCACCTGTAACACCATTTCGTTTATGAAGTGTTCATTCTTACCTGTATAGTCAGTAGTCATGCTATTTTAAGTAACGGGGAATTTCAACTGTTTGCAGTGAAGGGCGAATTTAAAACTGGGCGAATAAGGACTCTGCCGGTGAAGGGCGAAAGTTTAACGGGGCGAAAGTTTCCCCGTATACAGTATCCCTTAAGTATCACTACAAGACTTAAAATGATGAGGTACATAAAGTGCAGTGATCAATCTACAATTAGTTTGTGTGAGTTTTTTCTCAGTGTATGGTTAAAAGATATATGGGTCCCACCATGTTAAATTTCAGTATTTTCAGAAATTCTATGGGTACATGACCCAGGACTCGCATGTAGATTTATCACTGAAAGTGCTATAATTCTGAGAACTTGAGTCAGAACTAAAACCAAACATAAGGTGTGCAACTACACGATATAGGGAAGATAATATAGCTGAAATCAACTTATTTAGTTTTGTAGTAGTAGTCCTGACAAAGTGTTATCATTGGACAGACAGAAGGACACGCTGATTCCAGTAATTCTCCCAGTGGTATAACAAATGGTGAACAAAAATAATAATAGGGGAAACAACCAATCAGTAAACAAGGAAGACCGTGGGAAAGGGATCAAACTATTAAAATCAACATGTATCGGGAGTCTCCTTGAGCATGCTTTGAACCTAGTATTGAGAATCAGTTTAAACTCTATGATTTGGTTACCCTTAACTAACCGAGGATCCATTAATAATCATTTAAAAAAATATATTACAAAATCCTCCATGTAGTTGTGGCGAGTCGCGTACACGGATAAAACGAGACCTGTGGTGTAGGAATGACCTCCATCCAAACACTCAAACACTGCATCTGTAAATTTTAGTTCTAATTATAAGTATCCATGAGATGGCTTAATTACAACTAAATTTATGTGAGTGAGTCTGATGATGTCAAGAGCAACTAGAAATAGATATCGGTAGATCTAGAGTTCTGCTGCTTTAAACTATCATTAGAACTAGCAGGAAGATAGACTTGAAATCATGAATCAATCGCTGAAAACTCAAAAATATTTACGTATACATCCAATTATGCTGACTAAAATTGATCATGAACTCTGTAGTCTGTTTATTTGCTTAATTAACTAATCAATAGTTGATAAAGTTTATTAATCCGTTCACTACTAACTGAACCTGGAGGAATCCAGTACTAACCTGTTTTTATGGCGAAAACTCTCAATCGTAAGTTTATCCTTCTCCAACATCTCAGTGACCCAGCTCTTCACTGAAATAAAAATAATGATGATCATACATACATTTCAGAATGTATTCAATTATTAGGAACACACGGTATGGAATTATAGAACAGCCTGGTGACAAATAATGCCCTACAATTGGAAAAGAAAACAGGTTCATGGTGCATCAAAATATTAAAAGGAGAAAAATTACAAATATGTCTCCATAATTACAAGGTACTGACAAACTAAACTTTACAGATATGTCTCCATTACAAGGTACAGAGAAACAAAAATTTACAGATATGTTTCCATTACAAGGTACTGAGAAACTAAACTTTACAGATATGTCTCCATTACAAGGTACAGAGAAACAAAAATTTACAGATATGTTTCCATTACAAGGTACTGAGAAACTAAACTTACAGATATGTCTCCATTACAAGGTACAGAGAAACTAAACTTTACAGAGATGTCTCCATTACAAGGTACTGATAAACTAAACTTTACAGATATATCTCCATTACAAGGTACTGAGAACCTAAACTTTACAGATATGTCTCCATTAAAAGGTACTGAGAAACTAAACTGTACAGATATGTCTCCATTACAAAGTACTGAGAAACTAAACTTACAGATATGTCTCCATTAAAAGGTACTGAGAAACTAAACTGTACAGATATGTCTCCATTACAAGGTACAGAGAAACTAAACTTTACAGAGATGTCTCCATTACAAGGTACTGATAAACTAAACTTTACAGATATGTCCCCATTACCAGGTACAGAGAAACAAAAATTTACAGATATGTTTCCATTACAAGGTACTGAGAACCTAAACTTTACAGATATGTCTCCATTACAAGGTACTAAGAAACTGTTTCTATTTTAAAACTGTTTAATAGAACACACCCAAAACTTCAAATGGAAGTAAATTTTATCACAATATTGTGTACTGTTCATGTAGATAATCCCTAGTCCAATCAATACACACAAAAATGGTTTTCATTTTGATGAAGTTACTTTAAATATAATGTTATTACATGTATCTGTCTATACTGGAAATTGGTATCAATAAAAAATAAGACCGAAAGTAAAACTTGCCTGAATTCTCTGGATACATGACATCAAACCCTGGAATCGTCATGACAACATCGTAAATGGTGTAGTCTTTTATGTTGGACTCGTCCACTACGATTGGCTGCATTTGGAATCTCTTCCCGTTATTGTCATCATCATCTGTGAACAACAAATGTGACCACTGAGAAAGTTAAATCACACAGTACAAATGGTAAGACGTCATCTGGATTTGATAAGAGGTCAAAAACTGCGTTGAGATTTTTAGGGGTCAAGAACTGAACGGGCGTCCTACCACTAGACTTAAGAGGCACGTAAATCTATAGTGGTAGGATGCTGGGCTCGTGACTGAAAGGTTGAAGGTTTGAGTCACATCACGGCACTGTGTTGTATCTTTGAACAAGATACTTTACTCTGCTTGTTCCAGTCTACTCAGTTCTAAATGAGTACGTGGTTGGGCAGTGCTAGAATTGCAGAATGCTAGCTGTGAGCGCCGAAATGGCAGCACCGGTTGTATGCTCCCCAAGGAGTTGAGAAAGATATTAGCTTGTTGCAAAGTCCCAATAGCCTCGGATAATAATTTGTGTACCGCTTTGAGACTTAGGTTGTGATAAAGCGGTATATAAGAACCTCAAACTATTATTATTATCTAGGAAGCACAAAATCACAAAAATAATAATTTGAACTAGAAAAGAAGGTTTATATTAAAATTAGTTGCAAAGGCACTGTTTATCTTTTTACATCAAAATAATCAAGTCAATATACATGTAACATATATTTTGGAACAGAAAATTTCATTTCAACAATTGAACTTTTTATGAATCTTTTGTGCAATCATCAGGCCATATAAAAATAGTTAGAAGGTATTTCCTATTTTGGCTCAAAAGCAGTCATACAGGCATGGAAATTCATTATTAAAAATTTAGAACAAGTTCTGTATCTGAAAACCAGGATCAAATGTCGAAGCTCCAACAGATTTATAGCTTGGAAGGTTGTCTAATTGTGGGTTAAAGTATAAATTTTCAACTACAAAATCTGAAAAAAAAAGTTACCAGTTAATTTGGAAATTCTAGTGATCCCAATAAAGTTGAATAGCTTAACTCTAAAAGCAACCAATGATTTTGTTCTCATATATACTTCATATTTCAGTACAAATTCCCTTCTAGTTCAGGAAAAGGGCAAACATGTAAAAATGAACTCTACTTTAAGAAACCGACAACATTTTTTTTAAGGGTTGTCAGAAAAAATTTAGGGTCAGTCAGGAAAGGAGAATTTCATTTTTATTATTAACCTATCCGTGTTATTGCTACCTTCCTCTCCCTCATGCTCCTGATTCAGATCCACATCTGTAGATTCCTGAGGAAGCACCAGGTCCCCGATCACCGGCCTCATCCCGAACTCGTGGATCCTGCGTGACACAACACAGTTCCAGATGTAGCTTTGATAACTGTGTAGGTACATGAGTCGTGTGTTCCGTGGAATCTAAAAATATAATTACATAAACCCATACTTTATTAGATTATTTAATATATTTGTAGAATCTGCTATATGTCTCACATATATATCATCAAATGTTTCAGTTTTATATTTCAAGAGGGTCTATTTATTTCAATTTAGATACATACGTATTATAAAAAGCAAATAAAACAGGAGACCTGCTTTTGTGAACATGTCTTCTTATTTACCAAATATATACCTGATTTATATTTTGTGGGTGATAACAGTACTTACCCTGAAAAAATACTTTCACTGAAACTTTTGAATTTATTTAACCTTTGACCTTATAGTTGGAGGTCATAGAGATCCAATAACAATCTAATATACACCTACTGCAGGTGATGCAGAGATAATTCATCTTTCATCAAGATCTCTTCAAGGATTTGATATCTACAGCCCAAACAGGACTTGACAGAATATTTTGCATGATGCACGAGGACAGACTATAGGCAAAAGGTCGTCAGAGACATTCTCTCATGTGCATTACCTTATAAAGCCAATCCAATATGGTGGATGTAAACACCCTGTTTAAGGGAGGATGTTTACAAAAAATTATAACACACCTTCTTATCTTTTGGTTTATCTTTTTTGCTAGTTTCTATAACCACTACAGAATCATTATACATTGATAATGTTATTGTTACAGATGTGGGATGACATGCTCTGTCCCTCAGCTCAACTCTGCCTGAGTCTCTACCTGTTTCTTTCCTGATAAATAAAAATAGCTCCAATGGCAATATTTTTGCAGTTTAACCAGTGTGGGACACGGGGGAGTCAAACAACTTTAATTGTCATTAACTAGGCCCATGAGGGGTAATCCTTCATCCTTCCCTGTACCTGGGGATGTTTAATGAGTGTTATTCCCTGTACCTGGGGATCTGTAATAATGAGTGTTATTCCCTGTACCTGGGGATCTGTAATAAGTGTTATTCCCTGGAGATCTGTAATGAGTGTTATTCCCTGTACCTGGGGATCTGTAATGAGTGTTATTCCCTGTACCTGGAGATCTGTAATGAGTGTTATTCCCTGTACCTGGTGATCTGTAATGAGTGTTATTCCCTGTACCTGGGGATCTGTAATGAGTGTTATTCCCTGTACCTGGGGATCTGTAATGAGTGTTATTCCCTGTACCTGGGGATCTGTAATGAGTGTTATTCCCTGTACCTGGGGATCTGTAATGAGTGTTATTCCCTGTACCTGGGGATCTGTAATGAGTGTTATTCCCTGTACCTGGGGATCTGTAATGAGTGTTATTCCCTGTACCTGGGGATCTGTAATGAGTGTTATTCCCTGTACCTGGGGATCTGTAATGAGTGTTATTCCCTGTACCTGGGGATCTGTAATGAGTGTTATTCCCTGTACCTGGGGATCTGTAATGAGTGTTATTCCCTGTACCTGGGGATCTGTAATGAGTGTTATTCCCTGTACCTGGGGATCTGTAATGAGTGTTATTCCCTGTACCTGGGGATCTGTAATGAGTGTTATTCCCTGTACCTGGGGATCTGTAATGAGTGTTATTCCCTGTACCTGGGGATCTGTAATGAGTGTTATTCCCTGTACCTGGGGATCTGTAATGAGTGTTATTCCCTGTACCTGGGGATCTGTAATGAGTGTTATTCCCTGTACCTGGGGATCTGTAATGAGTGTTATTCCCTGTACCTGGGGATCTGTAATGAGTGTTATTCCCTGTACCTGGGGATCTGTAATGAGTGTTATTCCCTGTACCTGGGGATCTGTAATGAGTGTTATTCCCTGTACCTGGGGATCTGTAATGAGTGTTATTCCCTGTACCTGGGATCTGTAATGAGTGTTATTCCCTGTACCTGGGGATCTGAAACGAGTGTTATTCCCTGTACCTGGGGATCTGTTACAAGTGTTATTCCCTGTACCTGGGGATCTGTTATGAGTGTTATTCCCTGTACCTGGGCATCTGTAATTAGTGTTATTCCCTGTACCTGGGCATCTGTAATGAGTGTTATTCCCTGTACCTGAGCATCTGTAATGATTGTTATTCCCTGTACCTGGGGATTTGTAACGAGTGGTATTCCCTGTACCTGGGGATCTGTAATTAGTGTTATTCCCTGTACCTGGGGAGCTGTTATGAGTGTTATTCCCTGTACCTTGGCATCTGCAATTAGTGTTATTCCCTGTACCTTGGCATCTGCAATTAGTGTTATTCCCTGTACCTGGGGAGCTGTTATGAGTGTTATTCCCTGTACCTGAGCATCTGTAATGATTGTTATTCCATGTACCTGGGGATCTGTAATGAGTGTTATTCCCTGTACCTGGTGTTCTGTAAGAGTGTTATTCTCTGTACCTGGGGATCTGTAATGAGTGTTATTCCCTGTACCTGGGGATCTGTAATGAGTGTTATTCCCTGTACCTGGGGATCTGTAATGAGTGTTATTCCCTGTACCTGGGGATTTGTAACGAGTGTTATTCCCTGTACCTGGGGATCTGTTATGAGTGTTATTCCCTGTACCTGGGGATCTGTAATGAGTGTTATTCCCTGTACCTGGGGATCCGTAATGAGTGTTATTCCCTGTACCTGGGGATTTGTAATGAGTGTTATTCCCTGTACCTGGGGATTTGTAACGAGTGTTATTCCCTGTACCTGGGGATCTGTAATGAGTGTTATTATCTGAACTCCGGTAACATTCCAGAACCAGTCCTCTTGTTACTCCTGTCTCCGTCCTACCGACACTCTGATTGGTTTATCACATTTAAAAATAAGGTAACTGATCAGCATTTGTAACAAAGGAAACTTAGTTAACAATGGTGGTTACCTAGATTTTATCAACTTGTATCGTTATAAAACGTCATTTAGCCTGTATAGTTTATTGGCCATTTCACAAAAGCATCAAGACACCGTTGATTGCTCCTTACAATACATAAACAAACACAAGCCTGATCTTACCATCCCAAATGCACCACAAAAATTCTTGCCATTTTTTTTGAGGCCTTGCAGGAGGGTACGCTCTATGGAAAAGCGTTTAGGGTAGACCTTGAGGGCAGCACTACAGTCTCTCTTGTCCCACCAAATACGACGACACTCAGCAATCTCACCATATTCTGGAACACATAAGAGGCAACATTGTATCCATAACATCATATTTAAACGGTACGTATTTCAACATTGTATCCATAACATCATATTTACACGGTACATATTACAACATTGTATCCATAACATCATATTTACACGGTACCTATTTAAACATTGTATCCATAACATCATATTTACACGGTACCTATTTAAACATTGTATCCATAACATCATATTTAAACGGTACGTATTTCCACATTGTATCCATAACGTCATATTTACACGGTACGTATTACAACATTGTATCCATAACATCATATTAACACAGTACGTATTTCAACATTGTATCCATAACATCATAATTACACGGTACGTATTACAACATTGTATCAATAACATCATATTTACACGGTATGTATTACAACATTGTATCAATAACATCATATTTACACAGTACGTATTACAACGTTGTGTCCATAACATCATATTTACACGGTGCGTATTTCAACATTGTATCCATAAGATCATATTTACACGGTACGTATTTCATCATTGTATCCATAACATCATATTAACACAGTACGTATTTCAACATTGTATCCGTAACATCATATTTACACGGTACGTTTTTCAACATTGTATCCATAACATCATCTTTACACGGTACGAATTACAACATTGTATCCATAACAGCATATTTACACGGTACGTATTTCAACCTTGTATCCATAACATCATATTTACAAGGTACGTATTACAACATTGTATCAATAACATCATATTTACACAGTACGTTTTACAACGTTGTATCCATAACATCATATTTACAAGGCATGTATTACAACATTCTATCCATAACATCATATTTACATGGTACGTATTACAACATTGTATCAATAACATCATATTTACACAGTACGTATTACAACGTTGTGTCCATAACATCATATTTACACGGTACATATTCCAACATTGTATCCATAACATCATGTTTACACGGTACGTATTTCAACATCGTATCCATAACATCATATTTACACAGTCGTATTTCAACATGGTATCCATAACATCATATCTTCATTGTACGTATTATAACATTGTATCCATAACATCATACTTACACGGTACGTATTTCAACATTGTATCAATAACATCATATTTACACAGTACGTATTACAACGTTGTGTCCATAACATCATATTTACACGGCACGTATTTCAACATTGTATCCATGACATCATATTTACACGGTACGTATTTAAACATTGTATCCATAACATCATACTTACACGGTACGTATTTCAACATCGTATCCATAACATCATATTTACAAGGTATGTATTACAACATTCTATCCATAACATCATATTTACATGGTACGTATTACAACATTGTATCAATAACATCATATTTACACAGTACGTATTACAACGTTTTATCCATAACATCATATTTACACAGTCGTATTTCAACATTGTATCCATAAGATCATATTTACACGGTACGTATTCCAACATTGTATCCATAACATCATATTTACACAGTACGTATTACAACGTTGTATCCATAACATCATATTTACACGGTATGTATTTCAACATAGTATCCATAACATCATATTTACACGGTACGTATTTCAACATTGTATCCATAACGTCATATTTACACGGTACATATTTCAAAATTTTTATCCATAACGTTATATTTACACGGTACGTATTACAACATTGTATCCATAACATCATATTTACACTGTGCGTATTACAACATTGTATCCATAACATCATATTTACACGGTACGTATTTCAACATTGTATCCATAACATCATATTTACACGGTACGTATTTCAACATTGTATCCATAACATCATATTTACACGGTACGTATTACAACATTGTATCCATAACATCATATTTACACGGTACGTATTACAACATTGTATCCATAACATCATATTTACACGGTACGTATTACAACATTGTATCCATAACATCATATTTACACGGTACGTATTACAACATTGTATCCATAACATCATATTTACACGGTACGTATTACAACATTGTATCCATAACATCATATTTACACGGTACGTATTACAACATTGTATCCATAACATCATATTTACACGGTACGTATTACAACATTGTATCCATAACATCATATTTACACGGTACGTATTACAACATTGTATCCATAACATCATATTTACACGGTACGTATTACAACATTGTATCCATAACATCATATTTACACGGTACGTATTACAACATTGTATCCATAACATCATATTTACACGGTACGTATTACAACATTGTATCCATAACATCATATTTACACGGTACGTATTACAACATTGTATCCATAACATCATATTTACACGGTACGTATTACAACATTGTATCCATAACATCATATTTACACGGTACGTATTACAACATTGTATCCATAACATCATATTTACACGGTACGTATTACAACATTGTATCCATAACATCATATTTACACGGTACGTATTACAACATTGTATCCATAACATCATATTTACACGGTACGTATTACAACATTGTATCCATAACATCATATTTACACGGTACGTATTACAACATTGTATCCATAACATCATATTTACACGGTACGTATTACAACATTGTATCCATAACATCATATTTACACGGTACGTATTACAACATTGTATCCATAACATCATATTTACACGGTACGTATTACAACATTGTATCCATAACATCATATTTACACGGTACGTATTACAACATTGTATCCATAACATCATATTTACACGGTACGTATTACAACATTGTATCCATAACATCATATTTACACGGTACGTATTACAACATTGTATCCATAACATCATATTTACACGGTACGTATTACAACATTGTATCCATAACATCATATTTACACGGTACGTATTACAACATTGTATCCATAACATCATATTTACACGGTACGTATTACAACATTGTATCCATAACATCATATTTACACGGTACGTATTACAACATTGTATCCATAACATCATATTTACACGGTACGTATTACAACATTGTATCCATAACATCATATTTACACGGTACGTATTTCAACATTGTATCCATAACATCATATCTTCAGTGTACGTATTACAACATTATATGTACATTCCAGTCAAACCTGTGGTTTCAGGTGGGGGATCAAGAATTGGCCTGTGGTATTTCACTACAGGATTGTTACATGTCTCCCTGCAGCATTCTCTTTCTTCTCTACCTTATACCTTGGGTTGTTTCCAAACAAAATGACTACTCCTTAATTAACCTCAAAATTGTTCTCCTGTGGACCAGATTTACCTACCCATATTGACAGGGTTGGGTAGTGCAATGAAAGGGCACCAAACTTTCACTACAACAGCCACGATTGTGTATTCAATGGTGGGACGTGAAAGGAAAGGGATCAACTACCCAATCTTGCAGACAAGCAAGAGTGATTAATAAATGATAAGAGCATATTTCATAGCTGACGTAAAATAAATTCAATATACATTACTAGTCTGTTACTTACCCCACGGTCGTGGTTTCATGATGAGGTTCACTGTCTCCTCCCACTCGCTGTTAAGTATAGCCCTGTATAATAATAACACAGATATCGTGACTCCCACTCACTGTAAAGTATAGCCCTGTATAATAATAACACAGATATTGTGACTCCCATTCACTGTTAAGTATAGCCCTGTATAATAATAACACAGATATCGTGACTCCCACTCACTGTTAAGTATAGCCCTGTATAATAATAACACAGATAATCGTGACTCCCATTCACTGTAAAGTATAGGCCTGTGTAATAATAACTGATAATGCGACCCCCACTCGCTATAAAGTTTAGCCCTGTGTAATAATAACACTGATATTGAAAATCAACTAGGTAGCATACATCAGTATGCTCAAATCTAAACATTTAACATGAGATGCAATTATTGATTACAACAAATTAAAAGCTGCCAACAGCATCCTGGGGTCACAATCACAGAAACCATTTACTAGTAGGCCTACTTAACAAACACTTAATCTTTCGAGACTTGAGCAGTGAAGATGAAACAAACACATGCGTTTCAATACATAAGTGATTTAGTTCTAACACGGACATACATATTAGACTTGAGACTGGTTGTCATACCGACTGGTGGACCTTACAGGTAATGCCCCGGTCACACATTCACAGATCCGACGCCAGAATCGCCATGGATACGATCCAGCATCTTTCGTGGCAATCTGTAGTGGTCCGTAGCTGTCCATATTGTATCCTGGGTCAATTGAAGCAGTACTTGTATCTCCGTGACAATTTTTGAACACCAGGGACCAGACAACTGTAGTACATCCTTACTGATACGTAGTAGAACGTACTAATACGTTGGAGTCCGTAATAAACCGTTATTATACGTACCTTTTTGTAGTGCATCCACAGCATTAAGTCGCCAAGGATCGGTAAGGTTAGTTACGATGAACTACGTACTTGTACTAACATGTACTAAAATTAAAATTAAGTTGTGGAATGAGCACATGAGCGCGGGAGTTTGTATATTGGATGCTTACTGTGGCAGGTCCGTGACACTCCGTGCGAGTTAATAATTATCCATGCGGCTGTTCTAATTCATGCTAACCTGTACTAAAATTGTAGCAAACCGTTGTTAATCCGCAGTGCATAGGCCGTGACACGTGTCATTCCGTAGTGTACTAAACCGAACCGTAGCAATCTGTATCACTCCCCGCTGTCAGCTAGCTCCTATCCGTAGTCAAAAGGTGGTGCATGCGTAGCGAACCACAGACATTGACTATTCCGGGGTCATCCGTAAGTTTCCATCTGTAGCAGACCACAGATATAGACTATTCCGGGGTCAGCTGTGAGTTTCCATCCGTAGTGGATCTGGAAAGACGATCCGTGAATGTGTGACCGGGGCATAAGTGGGGTCGATCTATTGTTTGGCAGTCAGCCATGTGTGAAAAAGATACTGTTAGGTCGTGACGTTGTTCACATAACGCATCCAGGTGTGACACCAGATCCCGGAGGAATGAACAATGGACTTTAAACAATCATTTACCTAGGATTTTTTGGTGACAGTATCCACAATAAAGTGATATTTAGCGAAATTAACATCAAAACAAGTGATAATAACAGAACTGAATTACATACTGGAATATAAAGCAGGAAAAAACTGGGTATCAAAAAAACATGATAATAATCGAAAAGTGACATTAAGCATCATGATCATGATATTAAGTGAGATGTATCATTTCATTGTCTATAAACTCTCATAAAATTATCTGCAGCTATATGTACTGTGCCTACCTTCCGACATGGTAAGTGGGAATGGATGTGGTTCCGAATCTCTGCATGCCAAAGTAGTTGATGAAACCAAAGTCACGGAGGGACGCCATTGCTTTGTTGATCTTAGAGTCATCAGGCTCAGTCACATTTCTGTAACAATACACATGGTCAACAGGACTCAGCACCTCTTACATCACATATGGAAATTTTAATGGCGTGATCTTGGTACACATTGGTGTTTTCATCAGGCCTTAGCTTTACAATATTTATACATACAAGTTTTCAATTCTCAAATGGTATCAGGTTTTAGGAGTTGGACAAAGTCAGAAAAAAGTGACAAATCAGCAATATTGCATTGATGCCAAGTTAATATAATATAGACAGTGAAATGATCACAAACTTGTAAAATTCTTACCTAAGGACGATAGAAAACTTGTTTCCACAGATCTGTCCAAGTCGCAGTGGTTTGTCCACATATCTACAATCATAAGCAAATAAAGCCTCCATCATCTGTAAAGCCATAGATATGCCGATACATATTTTGTACAAAAATTACCTCGTAATTATGTCTAATCATAATTGTCTACATTTACAGCTCTGAAAGTCCACATATACTGCTAAAATAAGATTCTTCTGACTATCGGATGTTTCTTTCAAGAGATACATGACAAATTTTTTCAAACATTTATTTCCTTGCAAAATTTTCAAAAACATTTCAGAAAAAACCCGTAAGACTTGTGTTTTTCATGACATATTCAACTAGCAAACAACTAAGCTATCAAGAATTTGAGAGAGGAAATGTTGATTTAAAGACTCGGTCTATAAATAAGTTTAGAAAACGGCTCTTGAATAACTGATTCCCTGGATATAAGTGAGTACATTATGTATTGTTACAGTGCGTGAACAATACACTAATCGTTACCTGAAGTCTCCTAATTTCATATTCCATAGGGTTGGACTGACAGCTTCTAGTTTTTCTTTCCATACTCTGAAGGGAAAATAATTACCTATCATATAAATATAATGTATTTACTTTAAACACACATTCTGATTACTGCACTGTAAGCGATCATATTTACCAGGGTATGCTGGTTATTATTTGTCCATGATTTTCAGATTTCAAAGCAGGTATTCATTATATTAGGTATTGACAGTCACATTATACATGGATATGTAAATAAATCATGACATCATGTGGTCAAATACATCTGAAGTAGCAACAGTCAGAGTATTCAGTTTCAACCCTACATGTTCTTATAATTATCCATCTACAATTTAAACAGTTCACCTGGTTGAATATGTAATTCTTGTAATTGTGTAAAACAGTCATACGTATATTGACTTTGGAAAACTGTGTAGGGAGATTTGTGTTTTGAAGCATAGGGAGATTGAATTTTAAGTAGGGAGGGATGGATATATACAGGCCTTTTTTATGGCCGATTATGGGCCAGTTGCCCTCTCCAATTTCAGCATTATTTCCCCCTATTTCAGCTTTATTTTCCCCCGTTTCAGTTAAATATTCCCCCACTTGTAACTGAAATACAAATCTACTACAAGATTATCTGTCTTGATTCCATTATTCCGATTGCCCGTCAGTTCGACAACTGAGTGATTCTTTGTGTTCATATTGTAATTGCCAATATATACGGTATACAATATCATAACAGGCACACAAACACTTTTTTCTAATGCATATTCGGTGGTGTATTCAAAGCCACCCTCCCCGCCAGCGTGTCATTCACCTACAGATCAGAGCATATTTTTCAAAAAAAAAAGGAACTAACTCTCTATCCCTGCATTGATTCCTGGGAAAGTAATGGACATTTATCATGAGACTTACTTGTAGGCAGTTACTTCCTGTGTTGTTTTGGCTCGTCTGTCCTTTGTTCCACCATACTGGAATATTCCCTTATTGACACTGCAATCACAGACAGAAAAAGATGGCACACAAAGAAGATTACATTATACAAAATTAATTCCATACCTGTATTTGCGAATTCTTATCGCTCGGTCTAGTAAACCTGAATCTCCTACTCATGTCTATTCATGGCCATACCTTACACTTGACTTCTGTCAACTTTAAACAAACAGCTGGCACATCATATATAACACAAACTAGTTATTGACACTTTCACATACAAAACATAAGTATTAAATCTGGGTTGTGATACTTGTTTTAAGGCTGAACTTTGCCTCAAGTGATAAATTTGTTTTGGAGAGTTTTACGGACTAAACAATAGCATTATGACTTTGGTCAGGATTCAGATCAGTCTCCAGTGATAAATACAACCAATACAAAATAGGTTAGAAAATTATGTTCCGTTCGTAAATCACCCAGACAGCCTAGTTGTCCAGTCTAACAGAATTTACTGATGCCAGGCCTCCAATGTATTATCAAAAAGATATAGGCTTTGACCACACTTACTGTAACATATGTGCAAGCTTAAAGATGGCATCCATGGTGTCCTTGTTCTCCTTGTAGAGGGTGAAGCGACAGTAGTCACCCTGCTCACTAGACCAGCTTCGTCTTTGATGATAACTCCCCTGGCGAAAGCCCCCTTTAGCTTTATCAACAACAGAAAACAACAAACACTGTTTAACCGGAGCGATACACTTCCTGTGTTAGGTGTGGTTAGTGTATGTCACACTCTGGAAAGAGAGCAGTACCTCTGTACCAATACTCCAGCAGTTCAACAGGCAGACTTTCTAAGATCACTTAGTAGAGTTTATAGTTCTAACATCCCTGATAGTATGTGAACAGTTTTTAGTCTGACAAAACAGGTTTTCTTGGAGTACTCCGGTTTCCTCCTACATCAAGACCCCCAACATGCTTTAACTCATTCACCCCAGACATTTCATAATGAACTACTCCAAGCTTTGAACTGGAAGAATTCAAATGTGTCTTCAAGGGCGAATTTATAGTTAATCCAAGCCAAAATTAGTGGATAAACTTGTTTCAAACTTATTGTAAAATAAATAACTTTTGTATTAGAAATATACATGTCAGTGTCATTGTATAAATTATTTTAATACATGCATAAACAAATCCAATCCAATTTCAAGTTGGTGACAAAAATGACCCAATATAAACTAATGTTGATTTTGATATCTGTAATAGGGCAGCACAGCACTGTAACCAAATCAAATTAATAGTATCTACTATACTATGACAAGTTTCGTATTAAACGAGAACTCATAATTAGCTGTTGGTTTTTATTATGATACACTCATCATACCTTCATCATTAGTCAAAGTTAACCCTACTTTTGTAAAAAGTTTTTTTTTCTTTTCTTAAACTGTTCATTGCTGTAGATTTTAAGCATTCAGCAAATTAAGGCCGTCAAGGATTTAGAACTTCAGCTGAATTTGAACCTAACTGGTATCTGTGTACTTATAATATTTGAACCAAGCATACAATGCACTACAAGCTGATCAGCATCAGCATATTCACATATTTACATCACAACCAGATGGATGATATACAGAGATCAACTCCCATCACTCGTGAAATAACCTTAACATAAATATCAAACTATCATCAGTCCCCAACATCAGCAATACACTACCTAATTTCCCTAACTATAATTGTTTTGTTTGTTTCTGGGATTAATGTCCTCGCAACAACTTAGGACATATATATGCCAAGTTATAAGACACAGCCGAAATGATGGATTCGGTAGGAAAAACCCAGAGGTCCTTACTTAGGTTACAATGGGCTGACACATGAACATGTACTTGGAGAGGAATGATTTATTATACCTTTCTTGGGAGGAGGTAGTTTCTTGACCTGGATGACTTTCTGTCCATCCACCTCAACTGTGGTACTCTCCATGTTCGAGAAGCAGGTCCTGATGGCCCTGTGGATGTGACACCTCTTCTCCTTGTCATCTCCTGCCTGATGGTCAACATTTATACAATGATCTGGTGATGTAGGATTAAGACAATCATGCAGGTTCACTTGATAAGTGTGTGTGTGTGATATTCCAACCTCGGGTTCATAATTTGAAGTCAGGCTTACCATGACAATGACTTCAAAATACAAAATCCAAGCAGGACTATTTTATTTTTTATTTTCACTCTATATAATTATCAAAATATTTGGCATGACTTAATTATATGATCAAATCTATATTTCATAAAACATAATTTTCAGCTAATTAATGTAGAATGGTGGCAGCTAAATCATTGCTTCAAAATATTTCTCATCCACATTTGTTTTAAACTAAAAAATAAGAATATTGTTGCTCTTTTCCTGAATCAAAACAATACAGTAGACAGAAATGTCTTTCCTTACAAATAGAGTGATTTATAGTACACCTAGTGATCAATGAAAATTCTGTATCTTACAAAACTGCTATTTACAGTACTTTATATCACAATTTTTCAGTACATAATTATGTGACTGGTCCATAAAAATTGTTGTTTGCAAACTGAAATGGCCCAAAGAACAAATTATTGTAAAGGGCTGGTGTTTAAAACAAATCCTGTATCGGACTAATTCTACCTGGTGCCTGTACTTAGTACAGTATGAGTACCTGAAGGGTGACTATCATAGACTTGTCTGTAGACTGCAGGAGTTTGTTGAGTTCATCCACTTCAGCATCTGGCAGCTGACTGCACTTGACAGGCGTTGGTACCGCAGGCTTGGATTCTTCTTCTGGCTCCTGCAAGACAAAGCTTCAAAATAGCATTGGCATACAGAAAACTGATAGTACCTACATATATACAGAAGGCATAGCAAATAGCTGCTCATAGCAGGGTCAGAGCCTAGAACATTATACCTAGCAGAAACATCTCATCAATTTTACCTTTTAGAAATATCTTACCGTTTTTATCTAAATGAATCATTAACATTTCACCTGAAGAACTGATTTCTTAAGTTTCCACCTGGGCTTCATTATATATTTAAATTAGAGCATTATAAATTTAAATAGAGCATTATAAATTTCTGTATTTATATAGCTAAAGGTCATGCCTGGTAAAAGTCCACATACACATATTGCAGTTCCTAACAAATGCTATTCCATTGTCCTATAATAAGCCCACTCCTCTACTTCAGAGATTATGTGTTGTCCTCTGGGCTTGTTACAGTATAAATATGGTATATACCTTGGTCTTTGCAAAACTGACCTCTAAAATTGTTACCTATGACTCTGTTCTACAACTTTTGTAATACATGTACTATGATCTGTGCAAGAATCAGCTCTCTGAAGTCAGCCTTGAACTCTGACCTCTGTTCAACATTTACTTTGACCTCTATATGTAGTTCACACTTTCAAACTTGATCTTTGTGACCTTTACATTAACTCAAGTATATGGATCTTTGACCCTTAAGACTATCAAACTTGACCTCTTATTTTTATCCTGTAATAGTTCTTTGTGAGCACTGAGCATGTCTTGACCTTCACTTTGTTGACCTTGACCTCTGTACTTGATACCAGTTGGTGCATATATTATAGTATTGATAACTTCTGATATTGTCAACTTTGGTCACCTTGATTTCTGTTGATGTGAGATTCTCAGTTTTGATAATTTCCACATCTGGTACAGTTTTGGCTGGGGTAGAAGTTAAATGGACCACTTCTCCTTTTTCATTTACTTCATTAACAATGAAATCTGAGAATCTGAAAGAGGAAAAAAAAATCATTATTAAAAAATAAACACATTTTGATATAAGCATGTTTATCATGCAAAAGTACTAGAATTAAACTGGTTTGATATTAAAACTGGAAGACATTCAGGAAGAACATGTATAAGAAATTTTAATAGCAGCTTGCTAGCTATACTGAGGCTTTAATTTTCAGTAGTAATACCTTTGTTTGATAATACCCTGGAAACCTGGTAAATCGCTGATAAAGGCAAGTATTCCAACATCAGTCTCTTTAAAATGTTCTACTTCTTCAATTTCTTCTTTCACATTTTCAATCTCTTCTGTTTTGATAGCATCTTTGACAGGCACCCCAACTGGTACAGCAGCATTTCCATTGCCCTTCACTGCTAACTTCATCTTCTTCACAGCTGGCTCCTGTTCTGCCATTATGATTTTGGTTGATGCAAAATCTGAAATTATTTCATTGAGGAAAACATGAATCTCAATTAATTTCTTATCACAAAATTTGTTTTTTTTTTCAAACTGACACTTCCTGACATTTTTTTTTTAACTTCAAGCCTTCATCAAATATCTTTAGAGATGTTGACAGGATGATGTCTTTGACATTCGAGGCTCCTCAGACCCCTTTTTCCCTTAAATAATCAATTACCATTCAACATACCAGGTATATGAAAGGCTGGATTTTTTACAAGTGTAGCCTCATGGATCTTTGGTGATATGTCTTTAACCAGATCTTTTGCTTGATAATGTAATTGTTAGCCTGGAGAAAACCTACAACACAAAACAATAACATAGCAAACTCATTATGTCACTCTTCTGTACATAAATCTATATATTAAAATGGAGATCTGAGAGTACAGTAAATAACAACAATGTATAAGATGTAGAACTTATCGAGTCCTCATATGTAAACCGTAATTATGTGTACCAGGAACGGCTGATTCAATAAGATGAATTATTGAGAGAGCTTTGCAGCTTGCATTGATACTATATATGGTAAATATATGATGACCTGATTACCAGGCAAGGTGCAGGGTTTTTGCCAGTTATTTTGGGAAAGGGCCCCTGAGCAGGAATTGGGAAAATATCATCGGCATTTGGCAAAAACTGGGAAACATCATCAGTGTTCCCAAATTGTAAAATTTGTGAAAATATCATAAGTTTGGAAAAAAATAAAACCTGCAATGTGATTAGCAAAACGTTTTCCTTTACCTGTTTCTTACAGTAAAATGTATAGCAATAAATATAAACATCAATTTTCAGTGTTTTTGTTTATTCTATTTCAAGTTTTCGTTATTTATCTATTTTGAATGCTCCTTCATTATTGGTAATGCTTTGCACATGTAATGACTGGATTTTTTTTATTAACATTCTTTTTAATCCAGTTTGGAAAATAAAGACTGAAATTGGGAAAATACAGGGTCATTATTCAACTGGGAATCATCATCATGGTCCCTGTACCAGACACCTGGCAAAAACTCTGAAGTGATAAACATAATTCAGTGCTGCGGCACAGGGCTGTTTTTTTTTATATAGTGGACAGCTGGTGGCGGGGAATTACAGTAAACTATCAGTGCATTGTGGTCACCTGTCAATTGGTCCACGGTTTGATATCCATCCCAATACATTATAAACGTATGAGTATAGATTACAGACACACCCATAGTTATGGAATAAAACATAGATAGACCAACAACACAGTAGATGCCATCACAACACTGCACACCTATTAACATCCACCTGCAAAGCGTTCTGCTACATTTCTCCCTCCTTTAACAAACTCTTCAAACCTGTAGACAAATAAGACCCTCTAAAACCACCCTCTGTGGGTGTATTTCGTTGGAAATGTAACGGCCAGAGCAGTTACCAGGTTAAACATCTGGCTACAATTTCTGGGGGGAGGTTGCCCTAATCCAAATCTGGCCCCATTTCCCCCCACACATAGTCTTATTAGTTACTACATGTATAACTTACTATCTTCTCTTTAAAAACATGATGGGACAGAGAAAAGGTGTGTTTTAGATAATTCTGAGTTATTTCGGATTACTCGGCTACTGTACTCATATTACATGAGAGTCAAATCGTCAGTCAAGTCCAACAGGTTTGGATGTATGTCCAAATGTATAGGTACACCACATGCACTAGCCTTGTCTGTCAATACACTTGTACACGTAAGCGATTAAAATATATGTGATAGCAAAAACTCTCTTGCATTATAGATTCCAGGTATCCCTTTAAATTTTGTTTTCATCTCATCTGTCCATTATCACATAACTAATCTGCAACGTATGCTCAGCGCTTCACATGGCCCTGCTTTAAACGTAAGACGTTCCCTCAAATGGAAGCAATATGAGAGTGAAAAGAAAATTATATCTTGATCGCATATAGGTGAATATCATCTATCTTATTAACGTTAAATGTGTACCTGTTCTTCACAGTATTCACGAAACACACATGGCTGTGTTGTTTGCGGAAGTGACGTTTTTCAGCACTATAATGGGCTGCATAATACAGTAAGGACTAATTCAGTGATCTCGTCTTGTCAGATTATTTCGTTACACAAAAACAAAATTAGCAAAAGTATCATAATTTAGATGAATAAATTCAGTATTCATATAATTTTCCTGAATATCAATGTTACATAAATCTGGTTGTATTCTACATCACTCTAACAATATATGTCAGGATGGCCGAGCGGTCTAAGGCGCCAGACTCAAGTGCTAATAGTACTTCCCTTCTATAGGGTTCGGGTGTTCTGGTCCACGTATGTGGGCGTGGGTTCGAATCCCACTTCTGACACACTAATTTTTGTGTTTTTTTTCGTTCCATGTACTGTTGAAATTTTGTTTCGATTTTAAAACTATGTATAAACTCGTCAAATAAAAAATTATACTCAAATTATCTGATTTTTTAATAAGTTCATTCAATGTTAACACATTTGTCTCAAACCTGTTTGCAGCAATGGCGGAACGGAATATTGAAGTATAACATTTTTATAACGACTTAACAGAATCTTGTCTAATAAGCCTCATATATTTTGACTTGTGAAAAGGTATGGGGTCACCTGCCCGACCACGTGGGTTTTCTCCGGGTACCCATACTTTAAGACCCCCGTGAGGGATTAATTATGTCGACATCGTTAAATCATCTTTAACACACTACACATAATACAAATATCTTATCAAATGTGGTTTACTGAAATGTACATTTACAGGAAAAATTGGCTTAAAGATTATACACTGCTATTACGACGTTTTAAACTTAAAAACAGATTTTTTCTTAATTTATTCAATTCCTTAATGTTTTTTAAGTATTAAATACACAGCTGAATCAATTTGAAAACACTTGGCCGTTTGTAATAATAAGGCTTAATACACTCGCACCTTAAGTCGTTATAAAAATGTTACACTTCAATATAAAATGAAATTCATCTTCAATGTCATTTGAGTTACATAAGTTACAAAATCTTTGATCTCTATGTTTCTATAATCTTTACTCTTCAATTTCCCTTTTTAAATTATGTGAGCTTAGTCTGAAACGAGTCTTTTAATATGAGTTAATTCGGTTTCTAAATATGATTACAGAGAATAAATATTTATCACATGTCGATAAAGGAAACCTTTCGGAGTTGTTCGGAATTTATCGAAAAGTCTTTGCTCAATGATTGTATAGGTGTTTCTATCACTGCTAACATTCTCCCAAAGGAAAGTTAATCCTAATTTGTTGAGTTCAGTGCAGATATCTAAAATCCAATAATCATTTGACAATTTTTTTTCTCGTAATACGTTTTTTAAATACAATTGTTCGAAGATTTTATTTTTAACCAATATTTAATCATTTCAGTTTTCTACATACAGACAATGGTAATCTTCCTAACTCACAATAAACTAAATTATTACACGTACTCTTCTTGACTCCGAGTAGCCTTTTACAAAAATGTATGTGTATCTTTTCAACACCCAGAGCTTTACGAAAGCCCAATACTTCTGCACTGTAACTTAAGACGCTTATAATATAAGTGCCGGATACAGAACATTCTTTCTCTCTCTTTCACTCTTTTTTCTCCGACTCTACCTGTGTAACTATCCTTTACTTCGTTTCTATATCCGTCTTTTCTTCCTCATTATTTTCTATTTCCATATAGAAACATAATTTATATATATTGCGTAAATTACCTTACCAAGTTATTGTTTATATTCATGTATTTGAAGAAAACGACTGCGATAAGTTGTGAAAACTTATGTCCAATTCTTTTGTAAATATTTATTTGCAATAAAATATGTTTAAATCAAATCAATAAATCAGAACATTCTGTTTTGAGATTAAAATAATGAATTTTGAACTTATTACAAAGCGCATAATATGTCTTATTACCATGACCTGCAACATGCTTTTGAGTAACACTAAATTTACCGTTGTAATTAAAGAGCATGTCGAGATAACTTAACTGGTCGATCGAGACTCGGAGCTCTTTTGTGTCATAAAACCATTTCTCGTTGTTTCTAATCCCGCCACCATTCCTGCTAACTACTATTTTTGTCTTATCATTGTTCAAATTGAGTTTGTGCTTGTTATTACGGAAAGAAAAACTGGGGTTATTGACTTACTTTTTGAGATATTTGTCCTGTAATAAAAATCATCTAGAAAATTAGCCGACATGTTTGTTGCCAATATTTGTATTGTTATCCATTCTTGAAATTGGCCTAAACGATACAATTTGTACGACACAATCAAAATTAAATGTGTCCCACTCTGTGGTTTTATGGGAATTACGTTAAAAGAAACTTTTATCTTGAGCTGCTTATTGGTTAATCAATAAAATTAAAACATGTAATTGTATTGATATTATTCCACTGTATGCAAAATTACAAAGAAAAAACACAAAAATGAAAAAAAATGAAAAACGACGTCAGGAAAAAAACGTAAGAAAAAACGTAACGATTAAGACTTATGACACGTACGAAGAATAAAATGAATTCTATCAAAAGTATATTAAACCAGCATTAGTCAGTTTATGATAAGAAGTTAACTGACAACATTTAAATATTTTTAATCGTNTGTTGTGACGGTGTGTGAATAACACACACCGAATTCACGACAGTTTCATGCACGTACGTCAGTATATTGACATTTTCTGTTAAATAAAAATCACTTTTTCGATAAAATATCCAAAACATTGATTTGAACAATATTTTTTTCCATGTTAAAAGATATAGTAGGTCAGGGATGTGTAGTGCACTACTCATCCCTGAGTAGGTACATTGTCACAAAAACTGTTTCCAAACTATGAATTACTTTCATTTTAATAAACATCATAAAAGAGGTCAGATCATGACAGACGAAAAAAGTATCGTTATATTTTTTTATATTTTTTTAATCGATACTAATTTCACTGCAAAATTAAGGTAAAAGAGCCGCAATGATGTTGATCACTGCGGTATTTTCTCTCTCGCACGTTAGGCTAAATTTCATACCTCCCGGCTAAAGACTAATATCGACCAATCGATGATGAGTATTTTCTTCAGTCCAGTACTGTATTTTCATATCACGTGACACACAGCAACCATGCAAAATGGAGGCCAGGGGCTGGGGCGAACTGCCCACTGCTCACATCTCCTGTCTCTTTCCAGAAGTATTGACAATTATTTTCAGCTATCTTGATGTGAAGGACAAGGGAAGAGTAGCACAGGTTTGCACCGCATGGCGAGATGCAGCCTACAGTCGCAGGGTTTGGCGAGGAATCGATGCTAAACTGCACCTTCGTCGAGCGAATCCCTCTTTGTTTCCAAGTCTGGTGAAACGTGGTATAAAACGAGTACAGATTTTAAGTTTGCGACGTAGTTTATTACGTGATGTGATTTGTGGGATTCCAAACATTGAAACCTTGAATCTAAGTGGGTGTTTTACCTTAACAGATATTGGTCTTGGGCACGCGTTTTCACAAGATTTGCCCGGCGTTACAGAGCTAAATCTAAGTCTGTGTAAACAAGTGACCGACAGTAGCCTGGGGCGAATCGCCCAGAGTTTGAAAAACTTGGAACTGTTAGAGCTAGGTGGTTGTTGTAACATCACAAACACTGGCCTCCTCCTGATAGCATGGGGTCTGAGGAAGCTAAAATCCTTAAACCTGAGGAGCTGTCGACATGTTTCCGATGTTGGAATTGGGCATCTTGCAGGATTGAGTCCCCATGCAGCATCTGGGACACTAGAACTCGAACATCTGGGATTACAAGACTGTCAAAAACTCACTGACCAAGCCTTAAGGCATGTCAGTTCTGGCCTGTTGAATCTCAAGACTATTAACCTCAGTTTCTGTGCAAGTGTCACAGATTCTGGGTTGAAATTTCTTGCCAAAATGCCTAGTTTGAAGGAACTCAACCTGCGAAGCTGTGATAATGTGAGTGACACTGGTCTGGGGTATCTGTCGGAAGGTGCAGCAAGAATTGTAGCATTAGACGTCAGTTTCTGTGACAAGATCGGTGATCAAGGGTTGGTGTTTCTTGCTCAAGGATTTTACAGCCTGCGAAGATTGTGTCTTAGTGCCTGTAACATAAGTGACGATGGTGTGGACCGTCTTGTGAATTCTCTTCATGATTTAACGACTTTGAATATTGGCCAGTGTGTAAGGATCACAGACAGAAGTTTAGGCTTGGTGGCTGATCATCTAAAAAATCTTGAATCTATAGACTTATATGGGTGCACAAGAATTACAACAGTAGGCCTTGAACGGATCATGCAGCTTCGCACGCTCTCAACTCTAAATTTAGGCCTTTGGCACAAAAAATGAAGATAATTGAATTATATATCACAGATGACAACTCCATTGGTGCATTATAAAGAGCTAACTTGAGAATATATATATTTTTATTTCAATCATTTACATATTTTTGTCTTTAGCCAAGATCATGATAAGTGGTTAAAGTTTAAATGATGTAATTTAACATATTTTAATGAAACTTCATCATTTCAGAGATGACGTTATGTATACATAAAGATTAAGTTACAAGGTGACATGAAGTATTTGAACTGTATGGTGGCTTCCTGATAGATCCATTTCACAAAATGACATCATGGTTGGGCAAAGTGAAAAAAGTGTGAAGTTATTTAATTTTATTAAGTTTTTTTGAAATGCGTAATGGCATAATGTGAAACTTTGTAAGAATGCAACTGATTTGAGTTCTGCTGACATGAGTGTAAATGAATTTTCGTTGAAACAATAAATATAAAATTATTTTTCTGTATACGTTTATAGGTAAATATAAGTGTACAATGGACAGGTACATTTTTATCATATTATTTAATTACTGTTGCAATGAATGCCAAACATTGCCAAACGTTTTACTGGTCCCCAGCACAGACATTTTTGATAACATGGTATTATAGGCTTTTATAGCTTATAATTATAAAAGTACATTTTTACCAAAGATATGTTTTGTTTCATACCAGTAGGTATATATATAATACTGGTATGCCGAAATGGTTGTCAGAAGTGTCGTGCATTTATTTCATTTCTTATTTAGAGCACTTTTGTGAAATTTAACTTGTGTCTTACGGAATTATTTCTCCCTTAACATGTATCAGTGCTTTCAAAATTCTCTCAAAATGACAGGAACAGTGTACAATTTTTGACAAGAGCTTTAATATTGATGTGAAATTAACAAGAAAGCGTATATCAATATATGGTCACATTTCTATTCAGACTGATAGGAATGATATGTTTTGTAAAATCATTTTAAAAAATGACTGATATAGCACTAAATAAGCTACATACACATGTAAACTGTATGTATATTATCCCTGGTGCTGATCAAGAGTTTACATTTATATATACATCTGTGCCTGTCACTGTCTGGACTCACTGGTGTATTATAACAGTTGCAGAATTCCTTAAAGGAGGGACATGGAAATTTGTATCATTGATAGTCTATTTCAATATAGGACTCAATGTATAGATATATATATCAAGGTAGTAAGTCAAGATGGCTTCGATTGTTCATTTGGATTTTTTCTTGTTTTTTAAACCAAAATTTATAGTGGCTATAAATAACATTGATCGACACTGTACAGTATCTGAGGCAATCCCAGAGTCTCCTCTTAAAAGACTTGCCTTAGCCAAGTTGCAGGAATAATCTTTGAGGGGGCAATGGGGCCTTTGACTCCCCAAAACTGAAATTGATCCCTCCATGTTCCAATTTTCTTTTAATTTGACATTGAATAGCCCATCTTTATTCTAATATTTGACTAAAAATTGCTAAAATTGGCCCACTGCTCTCAAATCAAGGATTTTCCCTGAAGTTGTGTAGTCATGTATCAATGAAGTCCACCATACTCATGCAGAGCTGCATGCCTACTCCTACGATTAAGGCACTATTATAATAAATTACCGTAGTATGATTTAGAGCACTGAATTATGCCTGTACAGTTTCCAAGTTTAATTACAATTTTTAATAATTCGGAAGAATTCCTGTTTGTTTGTTAGATTGCCATTATCTGGTGATGACGTCCATTTTCATTATCGTAAATCAGAATAACAGAAATTGCTTTACCAGACATTTAAACAGCATTCGAAAAAGTGTTGATTACGATTACCAGAAAAAAATATCTTGACAAAACACTTTACCAGGTTCATCTTTTGAGTAGTGATAATGAAAAGTTGCTGAAAATCATGAAGCAGGATCTTAAGTTATCATAAAAACATATTTTAATTAATTCAGTTATTTAATTTCAGATTCCATTATGCTCACTTGTCCAGCAACCAGAAATATAAAATTATATGATTTATGTAATATATCTCTGTAACATCATGATTAGAATAAGTGCTTTCTAACTTTTGTTCTCATCTTGTGAAATGGGTCTTTCAGTGGTATTCATGTTCTAAAGTAAAATAATAACATGATCACTGAAAGTGTTTCTGTACAATATGTCATTGTGTTTATATATTATAACATACAAAATGTACATGTTATGGAAATTATTCAAATGCATACAAATAACTACAAATCAATAAAATAAATGTACTACTTGTGGAATTCAACTCAAATGTCGTGACACCATTATCATAAACTTTGGCATGTCAATGGTACTTGCATGCTACGTACTAATGATTGTTTCTGAAACATATTTTATGAACTGAAGTTACTGAACTGTCAAATCTGCTTTAATTATACGACTACATGAAGATCAATCTATTGATGTTGCCTAAATTAATCACGGCTGTATCATTTGAACTAAACTAAGATAAAATGTACATTCAGATTGTATATGAAAAAAACCTGACTAGTGAAGTTATTTCCCTTGTTAATGCTGTGTGACCTTCCAAGGGAAGTAACTCTACTGATCTTGTTCAATGCACAGTTGCATGTTCTCTTACACTGAGAAACCATGAGTGACTTGTACAAATATACAATATATGTTCACTACATGTACAGTACATGTAGTTTTTACTTCAACTTGTGAATATGAGGTTGATAAATTATGTACGATGAGTATTTTATAGAATATAGACATTTTGCCAGTATTTTGAACTTAAAGATTTTTTTTATTTGACTCATGAAATATCTTTTTTATATACAAGATAGTGATTTATCTACATCAAAAGTAAATTACTTATGATAATTATGGTTGTAATAATTAATTTACAGACAATTATACCATGTTAACATAATCAGCACCCTACATTTCCTTGGTTAGATTGTTAACTCATTCACCCCCGAACACATTTGAACTCTTCCAATTCAAAGACTGGAATAGATCATTATGATATTTCAGGGATGACTGAGTTCAACTTTTAGCCAGAATGTGGAACACTGAATACATCAACTAAAGGACCCATTACCAGGCTTCACCCTTAATTCAAATTATAAATTGCAGTCAATTGCCTCATGAACATGTTCTATGTGATAATCATAAACAAATCTTATCAAGGTAACATCTTTATACCATTGTTAAATATTGGAACTTGTACATGTGGAAAACCTATAATATACAATGTCCTATATTGGTCTGAGCATGTAGAAGTCCATAGGGTGCTAATGATGTTGGCCAATGGTATACAATTTTGTGTATCTCATGAATATCGGTTGATGTTTCTATATTTGCAAAAGTGACATTAATACCATTCTCCACATTCTACATACATGTATTTTGTATAAAAAAACAAACAGATTTATATAAAAACTGCCAAAATTTATCTTTTTATGTTTTCTTTACGTTACTGTATGTCTTTTGATAAGGGTTTAGATGGCCATTGCAAAAAATAGGCTTAGTATGTAGTCACCCAGCCTGTTAGCATTGATGTACAATATATATATATTGCTAGGTTAAAGTTTTGGAGCAAGTGAAACTCATTATTAATACATAGATGTTGATATTTGGCAAAGAGGTTCCCGAAGGGGTTCAACATTGATTAACATTGATGCAGTTTATTTACTCAGAACAGGAAAAATGTGTAAAAAAATAATCAGTTTTTAACCTGCAATTGACCTCATTTTGTGCTGGTGGATGATGAAACCATATAGGAGTTTGATATCAGGATTGGTACAAAAATGCTATTTTGCATAAGAAACAAATTCTTCTGAATAACCAAAAAGTCTTCTGTGGTGATTTTTTAGCAAAGTTTGATCAAATGAATGACCTTGAATCATCTTCAAGTTCAACAAGTCAAGGTTGAATATGTTGAAAATTGTAACAACTTCTTTTTGACCAAAAGCCTCAGGAACTGATATCTAACCAGTAGCATGATGGGACGAAAAGCTACCAGGTTTGTTTGAACGATTGACCTTGATCCACTTTGAAGGTCACTGGGGTCAAATGTAAGAAAAATCTCAAGAATAATTTCTTCTTAATAACCAAAAGGCCCATAATGACAATTATAAACCAGTAGCATGCTATAGTGAAGGGAACCAAGTTTGTTCAAATGCAATCTAATTAAAATTATATCTTCACATCGCTCCCTTTTACTGATATGTCGCGTTGAAGATCTAACAACATCCCGTAGAGGGTCATGTTCAGGCGACCTTTGGATTAACCAATCAGATGAGAGCTTACGCATTTCTGTAAGTGATGATGTAATGGTTTCAGAACACACTTGCTATGATAAAAGACCGAGAGGTGTCAAATGAGCATCGAAAATGGCGGCGCCCATAACACCACGCCGTGTCTATCTACAAGACCACGTTTGTACAATTTGTGGATTTTGCTTTGAAATAAGAGAGACTTCCTCTTCTGTTGATGTTGTCGTTAAAAAGTTTAACAACCTGAAACTAAAATTAACCAATGACAGGCTTCGCAATATTCAAACTATCACTGGACCAGACGAAAAGGTGGAGTTTGGGCTACAGGTGTCTGCATTAAATGCTACAGGTCCTGCTTTCTGATTGGTTGAAAGAAAGAGTTATGTCGCGTTTTGATTGGCTTGTTATAAATACGCTAATGTATTCATGTTGACCTCTGACGTGACCCTCTATGAGATGTTGTTAGATCTTCAACGCGACATATCAGTAAACGGGAGCGATGTGAAGATATAATTTTAATTAGATTGGTTCAAATGTCACAGAGGTCATGATCAATTGTGATAATATCTTTGAACAGGTTCTTTTGAATGACCAATAGTCATAGGTCATGATATTGAGTTGGAAGCTTAATTTAGATCATTTAAATAATTGACTTTGACTCACTTTTAAGGTTACAAGTGTGAGATTAATACCAGGTGATTGATGCAGGCCAATTAGACCTCTTGTGATATAATGCTTTTCTGATATGATCAAAGCTCTTCCAGAGTACACTCTAGATTTCATATCGTATCAATGAACAGTGTGCCCCTTCCCCCGGAGGTAGAAGGGAGGAGCCTGATAGGGGAAATTATTTTAATCTATAAAAAACTACTGTGTATTTAAGTTCGGATGTAGGAATTTGAACCAAATGTGACTCCATGTTGTAAGGGATGTGTCTCACTGGGATAAGAGAATTAGTCTTTAAAACACTAATCCTTCATTACCATTACAAATGTTCTAACCAAATTTGTTCTGAAACATCAATGGGTCGTGGAAACTAGACGTATAGCATGACAATGAGACCATTTGGCCCTAGTTAGGAGGTTCAAAATGGGTAAATAGAGGTAAATCTTTAAAAGATCGCTCCTTAAGTAGGGATGAGAGATTTTCACCAATTCTGGCTTGAAACATTATATTTATACGGAGGGTGACAATGGTGTCTGATGCCAAGAGGGGAAATTAACCTTGCCAAATATTAGTGCGATACAGGCCAGTTAGAAAGCCGAGAAGGTTTATATGATATTAACTTAATTCAGCTTCTTGTGTAGTTACACATTTTCTCTACACACTTGGAATCATCTTCGAAATCTTGAAGGGTTCCGCTTTGACACAGTTTTTCTCTTCACTATTGGAATATGTAATGACAAATCGAAGACACGACGTCAGCTATTCGTTTGGTTTCATGTATAACATGAAACTCATCGATCGAGCCTCCATCGATAGACTGATGTCTATTTTTGACGATTACAGATGGGCGACGCACTATTTCCAAACCGGTCAATCTTACCATGTTTACCCTTTAATGCAAGATGTCGCATACAGAAACTTCACTTTTCTCAAAAGGCGTCTTCGAAACATATTTTCTGCACCCTTGAAATATCATGAAAAAATTGAAGGCTCTCTACGATACCCTGCTGATGTTTTCAGAGATTAAAGAAACCGCGCGAAACGTTAAGATATTTAAAGGCTCTTCTGTAAACTCCGAATGAACCCTGCTAGACTTCGGTTCTGTCCTGACGTATCCCGAAGGTGTAGAAAAATATATATATAACGAGAGCAGGGCCCTTGGATTTCGAATATGATCATCCCAAGGTCACCGTAAATATTTTGTAAATGACTGGACTAGGTGTGCCTCAAAGGGGGGAATAGGGTTTAATCTTAAGAGACCACTCCGGCCTTAATTACGGTGGTCCAATTTGGCACCCGACTTTTCCTGGGTCGTAGAAGTGCATTACAAGTTTGATTTGACACCTTATTGAGCAATTTCAAAAATGGGAATAACGGACTATACCTTATATGAAACTAGAAACTGACAAGTAAAGAGATTTTGACCCGAAATCTGACATGAATTTTAATATGTAAAATCCATGTGCATAGATATTTCAATATGGCGGGTAACATACGGGCGGGCAACCTGCCATAAAGGGGAAATATTGAGCGTGTCAATATACGTCATAATACCAAGTATTAGAACCAAATTTACTTTCGGTTTCATTACTTGTGAATTTGATATTAACGACTGTTTGAACGTATTTTTGGTTGTTTCCCATTCCAGAGGAACATCGATTTAAACAAGGGGTAAGTCCAATATGACTTGTTTGTTAAGTTAATTGATAAATGACACACATGCTAATATCTTGTGTTCTCCAAACACATATAGACATTATAATACATATACATATATAATGAAATGCTAGTATAGGCATATATCAAAACTAACATGGTAATGGTAGTGTTGACATGCACAGGGACCTGATAATTTGTACAGCTGTATTTAGACCTAAACTAATATATATAATCATTGGGTTGGCATTTTTACTGAAAGTCGATCTATATCCCTAAAAAATGTAAAATTCCGCTGAACACCTTAGTTTATTAATTATAGGTACAAATAAATATAGCTGTTACAAGATCTGAGGTACTTGTGTTGAAATTTACAGCAGAGTGAGATTTCAACTTTTAAACCTCCCCTGATGTGTTTAGAATGGATGTTTTAGGAGTTAAAAATAACACCAAGAAAACACGTCATCATGAATGATGTTCGATGCATTTATATATATATATCTATTGGGTGCGTGCTGATTATGATGTCACGTCGCACTCGAGACATAATAAGAGTTACCTCCCTTCACCCGTCATTTTATCTTGACCATGTGAGATTTGCCACATGCATACATATAAATAGCAGGCGATGAAATACAATTTTACTGTATAGTTTTTACATTTCTTTGTGAAAAGTGATGGAACCAAGAAGGTTATGACCGAGAAGTAAAATTTTGGAAATATTTCACAGCGTACCAAGTGATTTCCAGTAATGTCGTACATAGCCGTTTACAATGCTTCTGTGTAAGCTTGGGTGACTACGATGACCCCTTTCATCATATGCTGTAATATAGCCACGACTCAAGGAGTCACGATGAAATCCAGCCCCTCAAACATCTGGAATGAAGTCTGAGCACGATGTTTTCTCAAACATTGAATGGATCTAATTTGAAAACAAACGAGATTAAATGGAATACCATCATTTATTTTACACAGATTAACAATGTATGCTATTTTCCCAATTCTACTTGTCAAATGAGTATCAAACATTCAAAGGAGACGATAGAGCTTTTCATGATGCGAAACGCCTTTCACAAAATATGTAGTCGCTAGCAACATCGGCGTAAATGAACAAATTCACATTGTCGCATATGTGTCACTGAAGAGTGAAGTTTGTGTTTTCAGTGATGTGTTAAGTTTTCATTGTTTCTGATGTGTTAAGTTTGTGTTGTCACTGTTGTGTAAATTTTGTGTTGTCACTAATGTGTAAATTTTGTGTTGTCAGTGATGTGTTAAGTTTGTGTTGTCAGTGATGTGTTAAGATTGTGTTGTCACTGTTGTGTAAAGTTTGTGTTGTCACTAATGTGTAAAATTTGTGTTGTCCGTTATGTGTAAAGTTTGTTTTGTCAATGATGTATTAAGTTTGTGATGTTAGTGATGTGTTAAGTGTGTATTGTCAGTGATATGTAAAGTTTGTGATGTCACTGATGTGTTAAGTTTGTATTGTCAGTGATGTGTGAAGTTTGCGATGTCACTGATGTGTTAAGTTTGTGTTGTCACTGATGTGTTAAGTTTGTGTTGGCAGTGATGTGTAAAGTTTGTGATGTCACTGATGTGTTAAGTGTGTATTGTCAGTGATGTGTAAAGTTTGTATTGTCAGTGATGTGTAAAGTTTATGTTGTCAGTGATGGGTAAAGTTTGTGTTGTTACTGATGTGTTGAGTTTGTGTTGTCAGTAATGTGTAAAGTTTGTGATATCACTAATGTGTTAAGTGTATTGTCAGTGATGTGTAAAGTTGTGCTGTCAGTGATGTGTT